GAATCTCCACTCACAGGACCCGGCTCAAGCAGGAACCACACTCTCTTGGACTATGGACTGAGGCCGGGGGAAATGGCAGCGGCCGGCATCGTTTGGGGAGTGCTGTGGCTGGTTTCCGTCTTGGGAAACTTCCTGGTCTGCTTAGTGATCCACAGGAGCAGGAGGACACAATCCACCACCAACTACTTTGTGGTGTCCATGGCTTGTGCAGACCTGCTCACCAGTGTTGTGAGCGCGCCCTTCCTGCTGCTCCAGCTGACCTACGGCAGGTGGATGCTGGGGAATGGGATGTGCAAGCTGGTGAGGTACATCCAGTACCTCACCCCGGGGGTCCAGCTCTACGTGCTCTTCTCCATAGGTGTGGATCGGTTCTACACCATTGTCTATCCCCTGAGCTTCAAAGTGTCCAGGGAGAAAGCCAAGAAAATGATTCTGGCCTCTTGGCTCTGTGGTGCTCTCTTTGCATCACCAGCTTGTTTTCTCTACGGCTCCAACAGCGAGCACCACTGCAACTTTTTTCTACCCAGTTCTTGGCAAGGAGCTGTCTACAGTATCACCCACCTCTTGGTGGTGTTTTTGATCCCATCCCTCCTCATTATCCTCTTTTACAAGAAAGTAATTAAGTACATTTGGAGAATAGGCACAGATGGAATGACTGTCAGGAGGACAACGAATACCGTCCCAAGAACAAAAGTGAAAACCATCAAGATGTTCTTAATGTTAAACTCTGATGTTTCTCCTGTCCTGTCTCCCTTTCTATGTGGTGCAGCTGTGGCACCCACAGGAAACAGACTACAGAAAGAGCTCCTTGGTTTTCCTGGCTGTCACCTGGATCTTTTTTAGTTCCTCAGCCTCTAAGCCAACCCTCTACTCCATCTACAATGCAAACTTCAGAAGGGGGATGAAAGAAACTTTCTGTATGTCTGCCATGAAATGCTACAGAAGCAATGCATACACCATCACCACCAGTTCCAGGATAGCCAAAAAAAATCATGTTGGCATTGCAGATATTCCAGCGACGGCCAAAAGTGTCACCAAAGACTCCACCTATGATGCTTTTAACAGGGAAGCCAAGGAAAGAAAGCTTGCCTGGCCTATTCCATCCAATCCCCCAAATACCTTTGTCTAATAGACTTCATTGCTTTGAAAAGTTACCATGTACCCCCAGAAGAAGGAGTCTTCTCTCCCTTTTGAACCAATGTATAGTTACATATTTTTAACACAGGTTTTAGTGGGGGGGGAAAGAGATGTTTTATTTTATTAAATGCTTTGGGTTTGGTGTATTTGTTCTATTTCATTTCAGTTGTCATGTTCTGCTTTGGGGAACTCCTCTCCTGGAACCACGAGCAATGCCATTCTACAAAACAAGAGTCCTTATACTCTCTATCTATCTGTAGGGGGAAAAGGGAAAGAAAAAACACTGTTTGTGTTAATCCCCACACAGTGTATAAATACCTAAATCCACCCAAAGCCACCTAGACTTCCTTCCATGATGTCCCTGTGAATACCACTGGCACTGCAGCAAAGGAAAACGAGCTCTGCAGTCCCACGCTTGCCTGAGGGCATCCTCCACAGGGGTGTGTTTGAAGAGGTCCCCAATAGGTGTCCCAGAAGAGACAACCTGCCTGGGAGCTGTGGTTGCAGGTGGAGGCAACTCCCACTGCTCATTCCCTGCCAGCACTGTCCTTCCAGCCTCCAGCAGTCACTGGTGGGAATTAGCACCTTCACAGAGCAGCTGCCAAAAAGTGGTGCCATTCAGTAAACCCAGAGCAGGTGCAGAATGACCTAGTCACAAAGTCTGAAAGACAGGACAAACTGCCCCACTCTGCTTGCTCAGACCCCATCTGAGAAGATTTCAGGAGCTTTTTGCCTGAGAATCAAGGATTTTACCTCTTTTCAGTTGAGGATCTCAAGTACTTTTTCCCCTATTCTCTATTTTCTTCTCAACTAGCTCCAAAGGAGTTAGTACATGGTGAATAGTCGGTCCCCATCCACTCTCTCTGTGTCAGTCTTGGGTTTGTAAATCTCTCTCATGTATTCTCTCATTTATTTCTCTCCTGAATTGAGGAGTCTCGTTGTATTCTGTCATTTCTTGCCCAGAAGGGATCAGCCTCTCCTTGGAGGACCCAAACATCCTCAGGTCCCAGCAGGCACTTCACACTCCAGTCATCCTAAAAGCAGTGTGGGCACCTTGATGCCAAGTGTTAAACTAGGCAATAGAAGACAGTGTGCAGGTGTCAGCTATCCCACCACATACTCCTGTTTCAAAATTTCAAGTTCCCAGCTGTTTAAAAGAGACCTCCTCAGAGAAGGATTATTTTTTTTTCTGCTGCTTTCAGAATGTGGCACACCTGGGGTCCTGTTCATGCCTGGAGCCTGAAAGTGCAGCAGTAGGAAAAGTTAATAGAACAAGAGCAGCAAGTAGTACAGGGTGTAATAAAGATGTCTGAGTATCTCCCTTTTCCATCAGCAGGGAGCAGATGTTTATGTGTGTTGGAGCCCCAAGCTGACATCCTCTGAAGAGTCTCTTGTCCTGGCAGTGTGGGAGTGGGGAAACCCCCTTTGTTGAGAAATAATCCTATACATATGGTAGAACACTTCCTTCCTCCTCTACAGTACAAAGTATGGTTGTAAGAACCCTCAGTGACCGCAGGAACACTTCCAGCATGTATTTCACAAATTCAGAAATCCCCATTAAATAAGTATCTGATATTTCTTGTAAAGCCATCAGCAAAAAAATTCCCATGAATTAGGAGATGAGAGGACCTTGAAAATGAGAAAAGACCAGTATTTTCTGTGTGGTTCATGTTCTGAGGCAGTTGCTTCTCCCTGAAACATATGCTTAGTTTTTCTTTGCCATTTAAAATGCTGCTGCTGCCTTCAGAGCTGCTCCACTGCTGAAAAGGAAGGGAGAGAAAGGCAGTCCATCCCCACAGCACCAGTTCCACACTGCAGACACACAGCCTGCCACGTGTCATTTTATGCACAGAGGCCAAAGAACTCACCAGAACAGTGGGTGTGAAACCGCAGACTTTGGAGCAACTTTCCCTCTGGTGAACTCAACCACGTTTTCCCACCTTCCAGAAGGTGTAAAACCACAGAAGGTGTCCAGGAAAAGTCCAGAATTGCCATGACAAAACAGCCAGGGACACAGTGTCCCCAGGCTGAAACAGGTGGTAGTTCTGCACTGAAATTCAATGATTAAAATAACAATTTAAAACAGCAATTCTGTCCAAGAAAACCTTGACTAGAAAAACAAAGCTGGTATACAGGTAGGAGGAGAGCTTGGAATCTTAGATTAATTATTTCATGAAAAGCAACTCAAGTTCCATCTTTCCTTGGAGGGCAGAAGAGGAGTTTGCAAGGGTCCAATCTTCCAAATGTCACCTACCCACAGGACAAACAATCGCTGCCAAGCACTGGTGCCCACACTTGATTCTTTCTTGTAGCCTGATCTCTGCAAGAGAAATGCTCCTAAGTCTTCCCTGACCCTTGCTGTAGTAAAAGTGTGTCCTCAAAAGCTCTCAGTGCTCTTTGGAAGGCCAGCAATCAGTGCCTGACAACAGAAACAAAACTGGAGAGCATCAGTGTTGATCCTCCCTTCTACTCCTACCACCTCCATGTAGATCTTCAAACCTAGCATGACAGAAAAATGGCACACATGGAAGGAACTGGCACTTGAAAGCATCGCTGACAATCCCTGAACTTCTCTCCATCCTCTCTAATTAACTTGAAATTGCGACTTCATGAAATTCTCCCTGATGTCTGAAAATAGGTGCACACTAATAAAGACAGGGGAAAAGAGGTTTTACAGTAATAAAGGCAATCATTTTAATCCATGTTAACAGGTGATAAAGTTACAGCTGGCAGTAGTAGTTCTGACAGACCAAGGCAAAGCTGTGTTAGTAACAGGCACGTTTGTTTTGGTTTTGTGCCTTATTTCATACAAAGAACATGATTCAGAAAAAAATGCAAGGTGAATGCAAGCAATCACAAACAAGAGGCCATTCATCATTCTGCCTACATTCTTTTATTAATACATTCACAGAACTGCAACTGTGCTCATTCCACAAGTAGTCCACGGCAGAGGGATTAAAACAGACAACCTTTGTAATTGTTCTTCAGCTGTCAGCCAGGCTTTTTTATCTGCCAGCATGTGTAGACAATATCAGCTCCATTACAATGCCACTCATTTAGTGGCATTGGATTGAAATGATGACAACATTAAGTGGCTACTGAAAAAAAACCATTATGTAAATTCAAAAAACTGAAGCAGTTAATTGGCTGTTTCTCAAACACCCAGAGCAATCCTCTTTGGTTCCATTGGTTACTACTAATAAAAAATTACTATTTTTTTCCAGAAGGCGAGAAATCCTAAGAACAAAGTAATGAGAAACACACCTGATCCCAGACAGGACCCCAGGTTTAAATGGAAAACCAACACTTTGGTTATTGTATTTGCTTTGATGAAACCTTTTCTCTGTGATGTTCATGAGATTAAAATCACTTTGGGCCAAAACTTTTAAAATGAATCCCCACCCCTAACTCCATGGGCTGTTTCAAGTGTGTAAATCTAAGCTAAAACTTCTCCCTTTGTTTGAAAGCACTGTCCAGGCAACCTAGAATTTTACAGAAATACAAGTAACAGAGTAATCTAAACTAAAAATATGCAACAAGTAATCTAAATCCCAGTGTTTCAAGTGAAAGAACCTGAACCTTCATATCCTCCCCATCTCTACTTCAGTATTCACTTAACCTTTCACAAGAGTTTCCTCTATCTGTGCAACATTTACAGCAGTTGTTAACTAAGTGCATGCTTGGAGGGTCTAAAGAATAAACTTAAAACCGTGCCTTAAGGTACGATATGTCAGTGCTTAGAATGGAATTCTGAAAAAAATTGTGCTGTACGCTGAAATTATTTCCAGTGCTTTCAACTCACCTTGAATTGAGGTAAGGCTAAAAAGATCCAATTAGTTCAGTAAAAAGAAGGTAACATTCAGTCTAGCAAAGTCATTCATTATAGTATTTATTCTAGGAAACAATGAAGAAAACATGAGATTAAAAAATGTTTCATGCACTTCATAAAGTACAGAGAAAGACATTGCCATGAACAAAACAGAATAAGCAAGCCAACCCCCACAGAAAATTCAGAGAGCTCCACTCTCCACATGACACCACATGAATACAAAAAGCACACCCAGGAGAAAGATCAGCCTGAAGAAAAGTGGCAGGTTATCTGTAAATAACCAGGATGAGTAAATCAAGCCCATGAGAGTTTTGCCACTACCTTTCTTATCATAAAACTGATGCCACTTGGTCTCCTTGCAACCAGTTCTTGGCATTACCTTTGGCTGGGAAACCAGGACAACACAGCAGAGCCCATTTTAAGCTGCAGTCCAGGAAAGTACCAGGGCCCAGTAGCTACAGAAGGATAGCAGGGCCCAGTGGGTGAGAGGGAATGGCTGGAAGCAAGATGCAGGGACATGCTTTGAGAGCATACCCTGGGAAACAACCCTTGAAAACAAGGGAGTCCAGGAGGGATGGATGTGCTTCAAACAGGAAGTTTTGAGTGCACAGGAACAGGCCATACCGGTGTGCCGAAAGGCAAGCCGGCGGGGAAGACAACCAGCCTGGTTAAACAGGGAGATTGTGAAGGAAATCAGGGATAAAAAGAGAGTTTATCGACTATGGAAGAGAGGGCTGGCTACTTACGAAGAATTCAGGAAGACAGCTAGATCATGCAGAAAGAAAATCAGGGATACAAAAGCGCAATTTGAAGTTAAATTGGCCACTTCTGTTAGGGATAACAAAAAGTCCTTCTATAAATACATTAATAACAAAAGGAGGGGCAAAGAAAACCTCCATTCTTTGATGGACTCGGAGGGAAACATAGTTAATAGAGATGAGGAGAAGGCTGAGGTACTTAACACCTACTTTGCCTCAGTTTTTACCAGTAAGACAGGTGGCCCACAAGGCAACTGGCCTCTGGAGCTGGTAGACAGAGAGAGGAAAACCAAATAGCCCCCTGTATTCCAGGAGGAAATAGTTAGTGACTTACTGAGCCACCTGGATCCTCACAAGTCTATGGGACCAGATGGGATCCATCCTAGGGTAATGAGGGAGCTGGCAGAAGAGCTTGCCAAGCCGCTCTCCATTATCTTCCAACAGTCCTGGCTCACTGGGGAGGTCCCACATGATTGGAAGTTGGCAAATATCACCCCAATCCATAAAAAAGGCTGCAAGGCTGACCCTGGTAACTACAGGCCTGTCAGCCTGACCTCGGTGCCTGGCAGAGTTATGGAGCAGATCATCCTGTGTGCAATCACACAGCACCTACAAGATGGACAAGGAATCAGACCCAGCCAGCACGGGTTTAGGAGAGGCAGATCCTGCTTGACCAACCTGATCTCCTTTTACGATCAGGTGACTCACCTGGTGGACGAGGGGAAGGCTGTGGATGTGGTCTATCTGGACTTCAGCAAAGCCTTTGACACTGTCTCCCATAATATACTCCTGGAAAAGCTGGCAGCCCATGGCTTGGACAGGGGCACTCTGTGCTGGGTTAGGAACTGGTTGGAGGGCCGGGCCCAAAGAGTGCTGGTGAACGGGGCTGCATCCAGCTGGCGGCCGGTCACCAGTGGTGTCCCCCAGGGATCAGTGCTGGGCCCAGTCCTGTTTAACATCTTTATCGATGACCTAGATGAGGGGATTGAGTCCATCATCAGCAAATTTGCTGATGACACCAAGTTGGGAGGGAGTGTCAACCTACCAGAAGGCAGGAGGGCTCTGCAGAGGGACCTGGATAGACTGGAGAGATGGGCTGACTCCAATGGGATGAAGTTCAACAAGGCCAAGTGCCGGGTCCTGCACTTTGGCCACAACAACCCCCTGCAGCGCTACAGGCTAGGGACAGAGTGGTTGGAGAGCAGCCAGGTGGAAAGGGACCTGGGGGTGCTGATTGACAGGAGGCTGAACATGAGCCAGCAGTGTGCCCAGGTGGCCAAGAAAGCAAATGGCATCCTGGCCTGCATCAAGAACAGTGTGGCCAGCAGGAGCAGGGAAGTGATCCTTCCCCTGTACTCAGCACTGGTGAGGCCGCACCTTGAGTATTGTGTTCAGCTCTGGGCCCCTCAGTTCAGGAAGGATATTGAGGTGCTGGAGCGGGTCCAGAGAAGAGCAACCAGGCTGGTGAAGGGACTTGAGCACAAGTCCTATGAGGAGAGGCTGAGGGAGCTGGGATTGTTTAGTCTAGAGAAGAGAAGGCTTAGAGGTGACCTCATCACTCTCTTCAACTCCCTGAAGGGAAGTTATAGCCAGGTGGGGGTTGGTCTCTTCTCCCAGGCAACCAACAACAGGACAAGGGGACATGGGCTCAAGCTCTGCCAGGGGAAGTTTAGGTTAGATGTTAGGAAGAAATTCTTTACAGAGAGGGTGATCAGGCATTGGAATGGCCTGCCCAGAGAGGTGGTGGATTCACCATCCCTGGAGGTTTTTAAAAAGAGATTAGACATGGCCCTTAGTGCCATGATATAGTAATTAGAGTTGGATCAGGGGTTGGACTTGATGATCTTGGAGGTCTTTTCCAACCCAATCTATTCTATGATTCTATGATTCTATGACTATCTCACCAGAAGCATGGCAGCTGGAAAACATATTCAGTGAAGGAAGTATGGGCAGAAGCAGGAAATAAATATATCTAGCACCTCTCTTCAAGAATCCCTATCACATATGCACGTGCTGCATTACAGAGGGATGCTGACAGCAACATCTTCGTTTAGGTTACAAATTACACTGCTATAAACCTCCTTGCTGAAAGCTTTTGATCCAGTTCCTTCTCCTCCACCCACAGTGCTCTGCTGGGCTTTAACAAAGTTGCTACAAAATCCTTCTCTTGCTTTTCCTTTATGGAACCTCCCAGACTCCCACAGTGGTGAACAACCCCATAACCACCAAAAACCAAAACCAGCCTAACTCTGGGCTCTGCCATAAAAGCAGCCCCCATTTCACACTGGCAATTCCCAAAAGCTGCCATAGCTGCATTTGGGGAGGGTGCTGCAGCGAAAGAAAGAACAGTGCTCCACTTACACAAACACCTATTGCCCCAAAAGCCCCACTCCACACAGCCTCAGGAACACCACCAAAGAGTTGCACGTGGGGAGGAGCAAAGAGAAGACAGCGGACTGGGATCCTTGCCCCTGCATCTGGGGACGCATCCACTCCTCAGAACAGCATTCTTCTGCCAGCTGCCAAGGAATCTCTGCTGAAGGTTCTGCACGGGCCTCCTGTGAACGATGCACCACACAGGGGAAGACTGTTATGGTTAAAAATGTGATTTTCGTGCTGATTCTTTCAAACATAAAGCTAGGAATTCCTATTTAAAAAAAAAAAAATTGGTAGAGGGTAATCTAGCCTGTAGCATGAAATATTACAAAATTAGAAGTAGTAAGATATCCAATTGCCCGTGTTACATCTTAACTCTCTCCCTTTCCATGTACATATCAGGAATATGACTTTATATTGCATGATCTTTTCACCTTCCAGTTACGGAATAACCTTATTTCATTCCCTGGACAAGCACAAGTGAGTCAGAAAGCAGACTCCATAGGAAATCCCAAGCCCAGTGTTTCTCACTTCTGAGGGCTTACAGCTAGAACAGTGGTTTTTTTGATGGAGTTTTTAAAATTCCATTATGTTTTATGTGCTCCATTCACCTCGCATTAAGAAAACAGAAAATGCTGTAAAAGATTAAGGTTCCAGGCTTTAGTGAGATACAAAGATTGAGTCTTCTTTTAAAATAACTGCCTAGCTTCCTATCTAGTGTAGTATCTGTGTTGTCCATGTAAACATTACACAGAGTCTTTGTGCCACCCACAAAGCTCTTTGCTTCAATCAACTATTTGTGCCCAAAAGCACATCCTCATGTTTCCTCCTACACCACAAAAGACATAAAAAAGCCAGGAATTAAAAGCATAGGCTGAACACTTACAGGGATTGCTGCTGTTTGCTTCTGTCTTCCCAGCCTTAGCAAGTTTGGTTGAGTTCTGCTGTGCTTTGCCTTGCTCCTCTCCAGTCAGCAGGGCTTTTATTTCGGAGGGGATTTTCCCTTGGTCCATCGCCATGCACCACTGCTTGTACTGAAATATGCAAACACATCAGGCATCAGCAAACTGCCAGGATCACATTGGCAGACAGAAACAGGAGCTCTGATCTTCACCTTCCATTCATGTAAAGTCCAAATTTACTGAGCTGGAGCCTCCTGTGGAACTGCAGAGCCCTAATGAGCTAAGCACGTGTCCACGGCTGCATACCTGGCCTCAGCAAAATCCTGCTTCGATCAATAAACTGCTGCTCAGTGGCCACACTAGACAGAATGCTGTAATTATTAAACAACATGGAACACTTTGTGCGATTTCTTGCTGCTGACATGCAAGAATACCGTTCCAGTTCATGGCCTATTAAAACCAAATATTTCACATGACTGTGCGGCTGATGGGCTATTAAGAGGTCCTTTCTTACTGTGCAAGGCACAGTTGCAGCACATGTGCCTTATTCCTAGCTCTCTCATCTTAAGTTCTTCACTGCCAAACCCAGAAGCACACCCAAAAACCTGTGGACAGCTGGCTGACTGACTTTTCACCTGATCCTAAACCTATTCACTTGTGCTGTGAATTAGCCCTGTCTACTCCAACAGTCCTAAAGCCGGGGCAAGGCAACATCCTCAGCTCCAGTGACATTTCAGTAGCATCTCAACACCACTGAGGAGCTGTGTCTGATTCCCAAATGAAACATTCCCTTTGGTTAATGCCACTTATTTGGCCAAGGCACCCGTCTTGCATGTGCTGGAAAACAGGACAGCCGTGCAACCATTCACACAGAGGGCACGCTGCAAGGATCAACTTTCCCCAAAGAGAAGCAGTGGCACACCACACATGTATCTCCCCCCCTTGATATACTAACACATCTCTTTCCACCATCTACCTGTTTCTACATCTGCCAAAGGTTATTCAGAACAAACACTTCAAGGAGAACAGACTCAAAGGCAGTGGCACTGTCTTTGCCTGCTTCCTGTTCAAACAGCTGGATGCATCTGATGTTCTGACACCTCCTGGCCAGCCAAATGCCACTGTCAGTCACCGGGACTTTGAGGAAAAAACGCCCATGACCAGAGGTCCCAAACAATATCGAGGACTAGGTTAAATGACTGATAGTTTCTTACCATTTCCAGCTCTTCTCTGAGAGCGCAGATGGCTCTCTCTCTGCTCGAGACCAGCTCCTCCAGGTACTGGTACCTCAGCTTCTTCCTGGCTCTGCACTCTCTTGCGCTCTGGCGACTCCTTTCAAGCTTTGCCTTCAAATCTATTTTGGCCGGTTTCCGACCCCGCTTGCCTGGTTTCTTTACCTTGCCTCCAACCACCTGGAAAGGAAGGGCACAGTGAAGATCCTGTTCTGCAGAGGTAACACTGTAATCACTGATTGCAGCTACTGATGTCTCGAGTATAAAATCCTGCATTTACATTCACTTATTCTGGAGCAATAGGGGAAATCAGAATGCTGATGTAGGAAGTTTTCAGTAAGGGCATTAAAAACACAAGAGTGCATGCTCTAATACCTGCCAGAAATATGAGAAAAATTATATTATCTAGAAATAGTATAGTATGCAGTTTAATATTTTATTTAAAAAAAAAAATATATATCATCAATATAATCCAAAACTCCCTAGTTTCCTGCCCTATGGAATGCAGATTTTGCAACCATTTCCCCCTCTCCTTTGTGGCTCCTTTTTAATAGGTCTGAAAGCTTCTCTTGCTACAACTACAATAAATTAAAAAAAAAAAAAAAAAAAGGAATAGTTTCCTCTGTGTTTACTTTACGCTTCCCCACCCAAATATTTTACTCTTAACATGGGAGCACGGCCCAAGAAAGTTTTAAACAGTGTCTGAAGCTTACTGGTCACTGGGCAGTATCACCCTGTAAGCATTACATCAGCCACACACCCCAGCTCCCCTCTGGAGTGAGGATTTCTCTTTATTTGCATTCTGACCACACTGTTTGAATGGAGAAACACACCTAACACACACACCCCTGCACAGAAGAATTTCACTGCTGCTTGGTGTTTCACCACACTGCACGCAGACAGGACTTTTTCTGACAGGCAGTGTTCAAAATATCAGAGTTCATCACAAAAAAAAGGCGCTTTTTGGTAGCGTAATGCTACGAAATAAGTAACTTTCAATATTCAAATAAGTCACTCGTTCTACAAACTCATCAGGCTGTAATAAAAACAGTAACATAGTGAATTGATGTGCTAGAATGAAGAGGGGAAAAAAAAGGATTATACAACTGAGCCTATTCTTTCTTTGGGAAGTGAGGCAACAATCACATGCCAACATAATCCTACCCTCTCTGTATTGCCTCTCCTAATTTATTCAGGAGTGGCTGCCTACTATAAGCAAATGAAGGAACAGAAAGTACTTAATGGACACCCATGATAATGAAACAAACACAATACATTCAGAAGAGCAAAGGAAAAAAAAAATAAAGCTCTTTTTACACTTTAACTGCTGAATACACCTTGAATAATCCACTCACTCCACCAGGGTGCTCTCCTCATGATTTTCTAGTTCAGAAAAAATCTAGTCTAGTTCAAAGTAGGATAAAACTCACCAGCCACGGCCAAGGCAGGGGGAAGAAGCTGCAAAGAAAGGATTTCCCCATTTTTGGGCATGTCAAGTGCAGCTCTGCACTCTCATGGGAACACACTCACAGGTATGCACGGGATGATCTGTATTCCCAGCTCAGCTGGAGGTAGAAATTCACACTCTTCCAGTTTGGGCTGGAGGCACTCACGATTTGCTATCTATTATTACTATTTGCACTTGGAAGATTTCTGGGTATTACATTACACACTACAATCAAAGCACTTCAGTTCTTGAAGACTTTCAGCACCTGAGGCTTTTCTTTGCCGACACAAGGTGGTACAAAGTACATCTCTGAATTCAAGAGCTAGATAAGGTCTTGTAGAGAGCAACACTCCAGCTCTCTTAAAAAACCTTTGCCACTGAGCTCTGACCCTCTAGAACTGGAGTGAGCTAGCTTTTAAGGCTGGAGCCCCAGGCAGGTGAATAGTTTCCCACCACGCTGTTTCTCACACACAGCAAGTTAAAAGACAGCTTAGCACATTGCAAATGCATCCTGGACCCACCAAAACCAATAAATTGCTTTCCCTTTAGTCACTCCAGAGAGCTTTCTACAGCTAGGTGTACTAATTGCTCTCCCTCCAAGCTCTTTTACCACTGCAGCAAATCCTGCACACAATCCTCGTACCTCTTGGGTTTTTGACCGACCCCAATAATCTCAATTCACACCATCCCTAAAGAACTCCTCCTGTCCTTATGGCTCCTGGACTTCACCCTATAATTTAATTAAGCATCAACCTGTGAAGTTGGTTTGGTAAGCCATCTAATCAAATCCTGCTTCATCATCATCCCTTTTCCCTCACCGATATTTAAAAGTTCCTGCTGTAACCTTAAGCAACCCAGCTGGGGATAAAAAAAAAAGGCCTGGGAAATCCTTTGCCCCCGTCCAACATTACCATATCCCCCTGGCTTCCAAGTTATGTTTGCCTGCTCAGCTGCTATGCTGATGTGACAGAGAGAAGACAAAGCAGAAGTGATGGTTGATGCTGAACATGGCAGCAGACCAAGAAACAAGCAGGCACACATTTTTTGTCCCTTTGTATTCCTCTGGAGTTCACAAAGGGATGTGATCTATTAGCATTCAGCGGTAGGAATTTGGGGTTTTTTTCACGGAGTCATGAGTTCATAAGCAATCAAGACCCAGGACAACATCAATTATAAAATTTGACAAAGAAATACTACTAATGACATGCATTATATGACCAAGCCCCACTTCAGTTCACTCAGACTTCAGAAAATGGAAACATATAATTTTTTTTCCCCTAAGGCACGTGGTGTGATTCTTGGGGTGTCCCGTGCAGGGCCAGGAGTTGGGACTGGATGATCCTGAAGTTTTCTGATCTTCCAATTCAAAGCACACCACTTACAGCAGCAGCAGTACAAAACCCAGCTGGAAAGTACGCCTGCTTTTCCTCCACTGCATGACATTTTATATGCTTAACACAGATTTAACTTTCCCTAGCAGACAAAGTGCTTCCCATAACCATCCAAAAATGTGAGATGCTGTTCAGTGAGCAAACAGTCCATGTCTTAAGCAGATATAATTATGGCTCAGGACCAGACAGGACTGAGTATTTGATGTTGCATCAACAGATGTTGCATCAACAGATGCTCAATCCATAAATGGAAATGCCCCATATAAGCAGTTTATCTGAGGGCTTGCTTTCTCAGACTCAGGTAACACCTAAAACCACTCTGAGCTTACCTATTTAAAGGCTTTTCTTTCACTTCACACATTGCAAGTTTGTGGAAGTTTAGAAAAAGTCAGACTTCGAGACCAACATCCTCGCCCAAGTCCCTGGAACCTGCCTGATGAAGAGCAAACAATCTGAGCTGGAGACCTGGCTTTAAACAGCCCCTGCCTCTTTTACAAGATTAAAGGAATTTGCTTCTTCGTTTAGAGGATGCAGCAATTTATTTACAAGCAAAAAAAAAAAGCCAAAAACCAAGAGCCAGTCCCTTCAAAGGTGAGAAACTGACCTGGAACTAAAAGTGCATGAGATTTGAGATCTACTCTCTCAAAAATCTGAAGAATGGACCTGTTTATTGTCATCAGAACTGGGTAGCAAAAGGTTTTCCTAAGCCTTCCTTTGTATATCCAACACATGTAAGTACATGCCTTGAACTAACAAGACATTTTAAAAAACTGTTGGGTGCATTTCATTAAATTTTCATTCCCCTTCAATAAAGTAATCGATTACTACGTTCCACTGCTAATATTAAGAATGACGCATTATACATTTTTTCCTTCCCAAATCTCACTTTAAATTAAAAACAACATTTAAAATATATTCGCCTCCAAAATGCACTTTTTTTTCTTAAAACTCGATCTGATCATTGATGTTTTGGCTCAGTTCAATCAATTTTTGAAGAAAAATACATTCCGTCTAAACTTTTTGAAAATTAAAGCTATCTCTTTCTGCACAAGGCAAGAATATTTGTAATAACAGAGAGCGACCCCAACTTTTTTTCGGTGGTGGTTTGGTTTCTGGTTTTGCTTGGTTTTAATTTCGCCGTAATAACAACAAAAGTGACCTGACGTTAAAACCTATTTTTATTTCTCATTTCCAGCTACAAACCGAAAAGTTAATTACCCAGGCAAGCATTGCCAGAGTACTCCCTATAAGAACCTTCCGTAATTAATACAGGAGATTGCGGGCTCCAAGGTGGGGTCCACGCAGGCCCTGCCTTACCTTGCTGTCATCCATGCGTGCCGCCACGAGCCCGCCGCGCCGCAGCCCCAGCCCGGCGGACGGACAAACAGACAGACAGATGGACAGACAGCGGACGCTCAGGACACCCCCGGGCCGGCCGCGGCCGCCGCCATCCCCGGCCGCCCTGTTTGTTTGTTTACAGCCGCGGGGCGCGCTGGGAAGGGTAGTCCTTGCCGGGCCCCGCCGCCTTTGGCCGCCGTTCCTGTGGGGAAGCCGAGAACTACAACTCCCGGCAGGCTCAGCGGGGGAGAGACGCGGTGATCAGCCCTCGCCTATGTAAGCGGGGAGAACTACATTTCCCAGGAGGCCCCGCGACAGATTGATTTGTTGTTTCGTTAGTTTTTTATTTTTTAAAATTTTTTTTCTAACGCGCCGTCGTCCCCCGGCAGCTCAGCGGCCGCCTCGGGCCGACCCTGCGCCGGAGCTCTCGGGGCTCTGAGCTGTAAATTCGAACCCCAATCTTCGCTGGTCCCGCTGTGACCGCCCCCGGTGCCCCCGAGTCCCCCCCGGCCGCTCTGCCCTCAGAGCCCCTGGTCAGCCCACACGGCCGCGGGCTCGGCAGCTGAGCAGCTGTGTGATGGCTTGAGCGTTAGATACACGGGAAAAAACCCCAAACCACGAAACAACAAATTAAACTTTCTGCTATTGTTCGCCTTGCTTTACCCTAAAGAGTCCCTGAAGACAGAACCAAGTCTCCCAAGCCGCCTGGACGCTGCACGGGGTACTGAGCTCCTCGGCTACCCCAAGGCTGGAGCAGTCCCTGTAATCCTTTGAGAATACCCGGGTTCCTCTCATTTTCCTATCGACACGTGGCAGATAATGTTAATAACTGGATGCTTGATGCAAAGCCAAGCCGTGCCTCGTCCTGTGTCTGTCCTACCCCCCATGTCCCCTGAAATCGGGCTTCTGCTTGCTCGAAAGACCCACGTGGCCCAGTGAACAATTTCATAAACGTGGTCAATGTTTCGAGCTGGCAGTGAAACCTGAGGCTAGGCATGTTTCATGTTGCTGCATGTTTCCTTTTATTCATGCAACTCTATTCACAGGAGTTTCCCATGACTTAATCTCTCTTACATGCGATTGTTAGGCCTAAAGGCTTTGTCATGGGATTTTCCCCCCTGAATCACAGACCTTCCTCTTGGAAGGATATGCTTTCTAGATGGCAGAGACAAAGCGCTTTCAGGAGCTTTTTTTTCCTCTGTAAGCTTATATGCTTTTCAGTTGTCAAAGGCAAGGCAGTTTGCTCACTTTCTTATTTGCCTGTCCCAAAAACAATGAATCAGTTCTGGCAACTCCCCTCTGAAATAATAGTAATAAAAAAAGCAGGGATGCTCAGTATGTTAAGCAGGAGGCATCAGCTAATAAAGTAGCAGGAATAGCTCACTATGAGCTTGTCTCCTGTGATCCCTCCCCTATCTTTGCCTTCAAATTCTTCAAGAAGGTGGTGTGGTGCCTCACACAGCCTTTGGCACTATCCTGGGGCCATCAGGCTGGCTCTAAAAGTCAGTTGGGGGGTTTCCCCGGTGAAGGGAAAATACTGAGTGGCAAAGAGCCAACACAGCTCACTTAGGCAACCCTCTGTTGCAACATGAGTGGAGGAAGGAGATCAAACAGAGCCCTGATGCTGATTCAGAAAGACCAGGATCCTTTTAACCAGCAAAGGTATAGCTGCATCTTTTCTTTCCACTAGATTATCCCACACTACTTCTGCTTCATATCACTTACGAAGCTGACCTCTCAGCTTCAAACCAGGATGAGCATGAGTTCCCTACCTAAGCACTTAAGAGCTTCTGGATTTTGGCACAGAGCAACCTAAAACAGGCATTTCAGTCTGCTTTTCTACAGCTGTGAATGAAACTGAATATTATATATATGCACATAGAGATAGCACATAAGATAATGACATTTTAAACTGATTTCAACAGCTAGAAGTACCACTTGTTTACACAGCATGTAGTGAACTCCTGGAGTTTACTGCCAACACAACACTGTAAGGCAGACAGTACAGCAAGTTCAAAAAAGGATTAGATATGTTTATGTCTCATAAAGAGGTACCAAGGGGATGTATTCTCCATCATCCCTAATCTAACTGGGATACTGGGGATGTATGAGAGGAACGGATGTAGGAGAGAGCAGAAAAAGGCCAAGTTCACATATTCTGCCTTAAAAGTGTCTCCTCTTAAGGACCAGTAGTCTGACTCAGAAGGTCTTTTTCTGTTGTTTTCTAAGACGTCACCATTTTGACCCCCAATGACTCACAAATGGCAAGATTTTTAAGTAAAACCTCCTTGCTTAAAGTAAAGGCAGATGACCAACTCCTCCTCCCTAACTGCAGGTTACTGTTTTTCCCAGTAAGTGATCATTCCTCAGTGATTCTCTGTGACATCCTCATGGTTTTATTGCTAAACCACAGTGATGGACCCCCAGGAAATTCTCTCTTGTATTAAACCCAGTGTCACAAATCGCCCTTATGCAATATCTATCGGCAGGTTCCTGCCAAAAATTAGTTATATTTATTTATTAAAAGAAGGGTTGTGCTTCTGAGATGCAGAGAGACTTTGAATTATATAAATAAAGTGGGTTCAGACAATACAGTGGCAATCAGGGTATAGTTTAAACATCACTGCTTATGTCAGTGTGACTTACAAAGATATATAACTCACAGGGTGATTTTGCACCATGTGCTCATATTTCCAGTGATGTCAACAGATCCTAGGAGGGTGTTTATTCTCTCTAGAACTGTAAATGTTTTAATTTGGGCCATTCAAAATCTGTTCCCCTGAGAGCCTGCCTGAAATAAGAATAAATCTTGCAAGGTTTTGGTCTAAAGGCTCAGCATTTTACTGAAATTGCTCCACTGTACATTTATGGAGTCTTTAGAGATTCGGAGCCTTTGAGATTAGTTCATTTAGGGATATAAAGGCGAAGATTAACATATTTTCTTGTTTGTTTTCCAAATGTTGTGAGATGTTAATGGCTTTGACAGAGATGCTAACTCATTTGCCATGGGGTAAAGACTGCGTGAACAGCCTGTCTTTCAATCCCTTGGGATTTTGGAGGTCTTTTTGAAGAACCGATAGAGAAATTGCAATTTTCTACATCCTTTAATCTGACACCCAAGAAACATTTCTAGAAATACAAGAAATTCTCTGCCTTTCAGTTTGTAGAGTCTGTTGATACTGAGACGAGAACAACTTTAATTTTTCATTTATACTCATCAGTAAAAGTATTTGTCAGCAAGGAGTGAAACAAAATGTTTATTTACATAATATTCTATATCTTATTGTTTTTTTATATAACCATGGTAAAAGTATACCAATTTATTGGTTTGGATTTTTTTTTCATTAGAGAAATCAGCTACATATTCTAAGGCTCTGGAAGACCTGGTAAACACATGAACAGCACATGCTCACAAGTACATTGATTGATCACCTCCACTGGTGATGATTACAAGAAATTCCTATTTAAAATAAAAGCTCTTTGAAAGCTGGCTTTTAAATCTAATCAGTGTTTGAAGGAAGCACAGCACACTGGAAACCTGATCTGCAGACTGTTTCCTATACACTGTAAAATTAAATGTTGATAAGGGGGTTACTCTCATATTTGCTAAATGTTCTACTTTGTGACAAGATGAGGGGCCTCCTGTAGCTGCAAAGGCTTGAAGTCAGATCTACAAGGGGAGTTCTTCCTGTTTAGCTATTGCAAATGTACTTCCAAAGCAAAATGGACTCAAAGAAAGATAATTTGGAATAATCATCTTTTGTGCTGTGCATACACACACAGAGAAAAGTTACAGCTTTATCTAGCCCAACTAACTTTCCCACATAAACAAAATCTTGAGACAGTGCTCATGATGCTTTTATATTGCTGAAGGGGTAGACCATGTGTAAATTAAAATATTGCACGAAAATGCTCAGGCTGCAGTTGGAAAGGAGCTACTTCACAGTTTCTAGCTAGCAAAAGGGAGAAAAAGAAGTCGGATGATCACTCGTATGATTGGTACTTTCAAATATGATGAGGAAAACCAGGAATGGTTCAAGAAGTTATTTGAAAAACATGGGTTTCGTGCAAAATTTAAACTAAATATAAGAATCTGAGAACCATAGAGCAAGGCAAACAAATCACTGATTAAGAAGATGACAAAGAGTGGGTTCGAGTTCAATGAGGTGCACAAGTGAATAAAATTTAATCTCGTTCCGAAACAACAAACAAACAGAGCAGCACAATGTGCCACGTTCAGGAATGTGAGAGCCATGTTGTATCTGGCACTCAAACAACAGAGAATTATTGCTGCTGATATGGTAATTGCAGAGGTACAGAAAAAAAGTGGGTGGATCATGTGAAATTCATGAAATACTTGAGGTGAACTTACAGCAGGATTAGTCTTTTAGTCATGTACATTGATCTCTATGCACAACTGGTTTACTAAAAAGGCATATTGTTCGTTCTCAAGAGGTTTCAAAATCCACTCCAGCTCGGTGTCTTGTTTTTTTTTGGTTCATAAGATGTTTTGCAACGTTCTCCTCCCCTTTGGCCTACGCAAACAAATATGCCTGCATAGCCATACCTATTAGAGCCAGTCAAAATCTGATGGTAGTAGCTGGCCATTCTGCTAAGAGCATTTCTGGTTGCTTCCCACAACACATGAAATAGTTTTAAACAGTTTTGTCCAGGCCCAGATTCTGTGGCATGGGCTGTGCTCACACGCCAAACATTTACTAATCTCAGTCTGATACTGTTGTCTTGTCCAAGGGCATAAACAAGGTTTCTGCACAGCTTAAGCAAAAACTGAAGGACTTGCATGGCAAGCTGGATCTGCACCCTAACTGGGTCAGAGGATTTCCATGATGGCCTTGACCACTTTCAGAAATGCCATTGTCCCTCACACGAAGGGTGGGGTCATCAAATATAGCATATTTCCCTGATCTGCACAGGTCACCCCATCTCAAGTCAGCATCATAACAGCTAATTTCTGTTTTGCAACTGTATTTAAGAGTATTGGACTTCCTAGTATTGTTGTAACTGCTGACGAGCCGTGTTATTTGTGTTTAATGAGATTTGTGCTTAATGAGACTGCTCAGGTGAACAG